CCCCCCCCCCCCGCCCCCCCCGCAACCCCGACGGGCTGACTGCATCCTCCCTGCAGCTGGAGCCTGGCTGTGCCAGGCGTCCCTGGAGCGCGTGCAGAGGGAGGGCGCATCCTCCCTGGACAGCAGCAGCCTGGGCCTCTGCCTGTCCAGCTTCAACAGCCTGTACGAGGACCTGGAGCACTTCCTGGATTACTTCATGGAGGTGGAGCAGCCAGCCTAGGCCGCCACGGGCCGCCCTGACCCAATAAAGAGAGCTACGAGCCGGTGCTGGTGTCCTGTCTGGTGGCTGGTGGTTGGGCCAGGGAGGGGGTGGTCCCCCGCAGGCCTCCCAGGCACAATGAAGACCCTTGCGCGCGCACTTAGCATTACAGAGGCCATAACGCTCCCTGGGCACAGCAGGGAGTGTGGCACCTGGGCTTCCTCAGTGGCCAATAGCCGCCCCTGTGCTGTACCCAAGGCCCAGCCCAGCCCCTAAGTCCGCCACGCTGCCCTCTGAGAGGCCTCGGAGTTGGACGAACACTTGAGCCATATCTGTATTACGTTACCAGCTAAGAAAGCGGGGGTTCCCTAAATAAGAGACAGGCCGCCGCTCCCGTCCAAGGTCCGCGCTTCAGTCAAGGGTTCCCCTTTCAAGTACTGAGTCAACGAGAAGTTTCTAAAGAGAATCCGTTTCTGATAAATTAGAACACAATGAAGGTGTATCTACAATGTACACGTAACGTCCAGTTTAAACTGCGCAGGGCGGGCACAGACCACAAGTGATCTCAGGAACCTGGACACAGTGCTGGGGTCCCCCGAGCTTTCTGCTGCTGTCACTCCCAACAGCACGCGGGGCCAGCGAGCCTCAGCCCTCGGCCGCGGGCTCCTCTCCGGCCTCGGGCCTGCGGTGCCGGCGCATGTGCCGGTACTTGTCCACGTAGGCCTTCACCAGGTTGCCCACCTTCACAGGGTTGATCTCCCCGCTCTTGCTGTGGCAGATCTGGGGGAGGGGGAGGCACAATTACCCAGAGGTCCTTTCACAGCCAGACACGTGTCGTTCAGTGGTTGCCAGGACTGGGCCCTGGGGGCCCGCTGTACCCACCGCCCAGGGCCACTGAGGGTCCCACCATGATGGCCAGGAGCCCACAGGGTGTCGCTCTCTGTGACTGAGCCTGTTTAACAAGCGAGGAGGCCGCTGCCCTAGCACCACTCGTTCCTCCCAAGCGCCCTCGTGGTGCCAGGGCCAGAGCACCTCCCTCCACTCAGACCCGGGGCCGTGCCAGCGGACGGCAAGGCCCGCCAGCGCCCACCTTCTGCACGGCCTTGCGGAGGATGTCCTTGTACTCCTCCTTCGTCACCTCGCGCTTCTGGTAGAAGGGCTTGATGGCCAGCTTCACCTCCTCCACCGCCCGCTCGGCGAGCGGAGGGTGAGTGCGTGCCAGGCCTGCAGGGCCCTTGGGGGAGCCCAGCGCTTCCCGCCGTCCTGCGCGTCCCAGGAGGATGGAGAGGGGTCTCACCTCCTCGTTCTTGGCTTTCTCTGTGGCTGGCCGGGGAGTGGCCGTCCTCTCCTCGGAGTTGTTGGTGGCGGCAGCGTGGCCAGCCGGCTCAGAGGCTGTGGTCAGGACGGTGGGCACTGGGGCCAGGCTGGGTGCCGCCCCGCAGCCCGCCAGCGGGAGGCTCCCCTGCAGGATGAACTGCACGGTGGGCTGGCTGACCGGTGCGTAGGGCGGGACACTTGAGGGCAGAGCCAGGGCGGGAGGCAGGCTGGGGCCATAAACCTGGGCAAGAACAGTCTGCTGAGCGCAGCTTCGATGCTGGCAGCACCCCGGCCAGGCGCAGCCCCCGTGGCCCACGGGCAAGGTTACCTCCCCCCGCAGCCTTGACACCCACCTGGGCGGGGTCTGCAGTGGGAAAGCCAGACTCTGGAAGCGTGTAAGCAGGAGGGGGCTCGGGGCAGGGTGCCTGCTGGGAGTCCACCACAAGGCCTCCGTCTCCGGGTTCCCACGCCTCTTCCTGCGGCTGCTGGGGCCTGTGCAGTGGGGTCCCTGAGGGCCAACATGGGGAGGTGGGTGTTCTGTGACCACCCAGGACGGAAGGCTACCTCCTGCTGCAAAACTCCAGAGGAGCATCCCAGCACCAGGACACAGGCTGGAGGCAGCCACCTCCCTACCAGAGTGACCCCGGAGGCCCAGGAGCCACCGGGGAGAAGATGCCCACGGTGCCCGCTCTGTGCCCCCTCCGTGCTGCCCCGGCCCACCTGTGAGGCCACAGGAGCCCCTACTCACGCAGGCCTCGGTCCTCAGCCAGAGCGCAACCCGCCGCCTCCTGCAGGTTCCAGGTGACCCTCTTCACGGGGGCCTTCGCCCGAAGCACAGAGGTCAGGCAGAGGCCTTCCTCCTTCCCCAGCAGCGCCCCGCCCCCGGCCGGGCCTCCCAGGGCAGCCGGCACCGCAGCCTGGGCCTGGTCCTGCTGGAACGAGGCCGTCTCCTGGGGACCCTTTGTCCAGGGCAGGGGCTGCTCGGTGTCCTCACTGTGGATCAGCGACACCTCCCTTCTGATGGCAGCCAGGCTGTGGTCCTGCTGCTGGCCGGCCGGGGGTGCAGCGGGGGTGGGTGGGACCCCGCGCTCAGGCGAGGAGGAGTCTGTGCTCTCTGGGGAGGGCGGGGAGCTCATGTCGTCGAGCTGCGTGAAGATGCCTTCACTGGAAAAGTCGTCAAAGACGTGCCCCGCCTCGACCGAGTCCACGTAGTCCAGGTCCTCGGGGGCACATTCGGCCGGCACCTCTGGGGCAGGGGGAGCCTTCGGGGGGGCCTGGTCGGCCTCAGCCCCTTCTGGCCAGGCTTCAGCTCCTGCTGAGGCCTGCAGCCCCACCGTGTTCTCCCTGCCCGGCCTCGGCTCCTCCTGGGGAGGGGGAGCCGGGGAAGCCTCCTTCACGGGCAACTTCCTCTCCGGGGAGCGGGAGCGGGAGCGAGGCCGAGACCGCTTCTCACGGGAACGAGGCCGCCGGTGCTCTCGGGACCTGTGCTCCAGGCTGGGGGACCTGGACCTGTGCCGCCTCCTCTCACGGGAGCCCCGCCTGTCTCGGGGCCACTCGCGGCTCCTCTCCCTAGGACGGCGGGGCCTCCGGGCCCTCTCCAGGCTGCTGGGGGGAGAGCACCCCCTCCCCTGAGACCTGGAGCGTCTCTTCTTCTTCCTCCTGCTCTCGCGGTGCTCGTGTGAGGAGCTCCCAGGGCTGCCGGAGCGGGAGTGGGAGCGGGACCTCCGCCGGCCTCGGCCCCACGAGTCCCTCTTCCTGTCCCTGCTCTTGTCCTTGGCCTTCCTCCGCTTGGCCCGCTCGTGGCTGCTGGAGCGGTCACTGGAAGACCTCCGAGCCCTGGCCTTGGCCGGGGGCCTCTTGGCCTGGTCCTCACCCACCAGAGGTGACAACGACCTGGAGCTCCTGTCCCCGGAGCGGGAGCCGGAGCGGGTGCGGGAGCGGGTCTGCCTGTGCCCCGGGGCGGAGGCCTGCTTCCTCTGGTCGGTCTCTCTGCCGCGGGAGCTGGACGGGGAGCGGGAGCGGGAGCGGGACGGAGACCGCAGCTCCACGATTCTGTGGGTGGTGGTCGGCAGGGTGTCCGGCTCCACCACCGTCACGCAGGTCACCATCCGCTCCTCAGAGCCGAAGAAGGTGGTGCGAGGCGGCCGGTCCTCGTCCTCCCAGGGCTCCAGTGGGGATGGCCTTCGTGCCCGGGGGGCTGAGTCTGGGCCCCCGGCGGGCTCCTCGCCCCGGAGCTGGAGCAGGCTGGAGGGCGGCCCCCGAGAGGGCTCGGGCTCCGTCCCAAAGACTGTTTTCACCGTGTAGGAGGTGACACACCGCACGGTCTGCGAGGGCGGGGCCTTGGGGCTGCCGATGGAGATGGTGCGGGTGATCTCCGAGGGCAGGAGGCCGGGGCCCAGGCGCTCGGGGCTGCTGCCTGCAGAGCTGGAGTCCGAACCCGTGGGGTTGAACGGGTCATAGATCTCGCTCTTGAGCTGCTTCGTCTTCCTGAGGGAGAAAAGGGGGGCGGAGTTCTCTTTCCTCTGCGCCTTATCGTCCACAGGCTGGAACGTGTGGCAGAAGCCGGGGCTGGAGAGTCTGCTGGAATGCGCCGTGTTCCCGGGAATATTGATCCGGAAGCTCTCGAAGGTTGAGCTGCCGCCCTTCCCCCTCGAGGGTCCCAGCGGGGCAGGGGACTGAGCACCGCCGCCCCTTGAGTGCACGCTGGGCTCCTGGGGGCCCCTGCCGTGCGGCGAGCTCTCCGCCCGGGCCCCGAGGCCAGGCTGCCCCGGGCCCTCCCTGCCTGTCAGCCGGCTGATGCAGGAGCTGGGGATCTCCACTCGCTGCCCGCCGGCGGGGGCGGGGGGCGGGGGCTGTGTCCGCCCACCCACTGCCGCTGTCCCTTCTCATCTTTGGTATCCTGGGGAGCTGGGAGATGTCCGCTCTCCGCGGCGCGGGCCCCGGGGCCTGGCCTGGCCCTGCACTCGCGGCTGGCACATCAGGGCCGCCGTTTGAGATCTTAGATGTGAGTCCAAGAGGCCCAGCGTGCTCATTGACGCCTCTAACTTGTGGGTCCTCCCGTCGTTTGAAGCCAGGACTGTTCACATTCGACGGGCTCTGGGCCTGACCTGACCGAGGGGTCGCTGAGGAGTCCAGTCTCGCCGCAGCCCCCGACGTGAGCGCAGGGACGTGGGAGGGGGTGGACCTGCCTTGACTGCGCGACCCCAGGCTTCCCAGGAGCCCTGTGCTTGGTGCTGGGGGCTGCGGGCCGTCTCCCCCTCGGGACAGACCGACTGAGTGTCGCTGAAAAGAAACAGGTGCTAAAAGACAAAAAGGCAGACGGCCATCAGGTGCCCTCCCTCCTTTCCAGGCTCCATGACTTGCTTAGCCTTTATCACACGCTGTCTAGCTGTGCATTTCAAGTTCCTCCTACTTGTTGCTGGTGGGGGCACAGCCCTGTGGGGGGCGTAGGGACCGCCGGGGCGCCCTGGGCAGCTGGAGGCTTTGCTGTGGGGCTTCCCTTCTGCCTCCCCTTGTGATATTTGGGTTCAGGATGTGCCGAAGCCAGTGACAGACCTTTGGCAGGAGGTAGGAGGGGAGGGCTGCCCGCCTCCGCAGCGCTGCCATCACTGGCTGCCCAGTCCCCACACTGGACCCCACCCCCAAGACCTGCTAGGCCAGTGATGGCGAACCTATGACACGCGTGTCAGAGGTGACACGCAAACTCATTTTTTTGGTTGATTTTTCTTTGTTAAATGGCATTTAAATATATAAAATAAATATCAAAAATATAAGTCTTTGTTTTACTATGGTTGCAAAGATCAAAAAATTTCTATATGTGACACGGCACCAGAGTTAAGTTAGGGTTTTTCAAAATGCTGACACGCCGAGCTCAGAAGGTTCGCCATCACTGGGCTAGACCCAGGTCAGCGGAGGGCTCCGCGTGCGGGCTCAGGGCTGTGAGGACACAGGCCACGGGGCGGCCTTGGGCCTGCGGCTCCGTCACCACCCAAGTGATTTGCTCGTCACCACCGTTCAGAACATGAGGGAAAAACAGGAGGACGCTGCCCCTCCTTTACGTCTTCTGTGCGTGGAAAACGCACCCGCCCTCCATGCGCACCCACCCAAGCAGAGCGTGTCTCCACTTCCGCTCGGAGGCGGCTTACCTGCCCGCTTGGCGCTGAGCGAGCCGTCGCGGTGGATGGTGATGTCGGAGCTGTCCATCATGAGGAGGCTCTGGCCCGACAGGATGCTGCCCAGCAGGTCGGGGACAGGGGCCACGTCCACGTCCGGCTCGGGCGCCGCGGCAGGAATGCTCCTCCTGCAGGTGCAGACTAGGCCCTGCCACCGCTGCCCTCAGGCCCTGCCCCGCCCCCAGGCCCTGGGAGTGGGGCTGAGAGGAGGCCGTCCGCCAGGACCCCCACAGGAGTGAGACCCACCCCGCAGCTCCCCTGAAAACGGGGCGGGATGAAATCAGTGGGTGCACCACAGGCCAGAGCACAGCGGAGCAGCTCTGCCGTCATGGGGTTCAGTTTCTTCTTTTCCCCCAAATGCTCCAATGAGAAAAGGCCCAGCCCAAGGCGCAGCCCAGCAGCCTGGCCCCCACCCAGCACCCCCGCGGACGGCTCCCCACCCAGCACCCAGCACCCCCGCTGACGGCTCCCCATCCAGTACCCAGCACCCAGTACCCCCGCTGACGGCTCCCCACCCAGCACCCAGCACCCCCGCTGATGGCTCCCTATCCAGCACCCAGCACCCCTGCTGATGGGTCTGCCCGTGGCCTCGTGCCCTCGCTCCCCATCAAGAAGCCAAGGGGAGTCTGGGGGCTAGAGACCAGCCAGCATGGCTGCCACGCCGGAACCGCTGCCCTTGGCCCTCAGACCCACCTGGAGAGCCCCATGGAGACGGGCCTGGCCACGGGCTGGTGAGACCGCAGGGCCGAGCGGGAGAGGACCCTCCTCTTGGCACTCAGAGGGGAAGCAGGGCTGGCAGACGGCTCTTCGCTGCTGGAGGAAGGACACCAACCGAGGAAACGGTGACCCATGCCCGAGGCCCACGGGCCCCTCCAGCCCCTGCCCCAGTGCCCAGCAGGACGGCCTGGTGCTGCCCACACGGCACTTTCCTCAGCCAGGACGAGCATGCAATGCCTGAGGCAGGAGGCAGCTCCCTCGTTTTCCCAGCGGCAACCGGAGGCTCACCCTGGCCCACAGGGTGGCGTGCCCACCGTCACAACACTTGGAAGAAGGGAGGTGGCAGCTTGCTCCCCAACTCTGCAGAGGTGCCTGCGGCACTGCCCCCCTGCAGTCACCTGTCGAAAGGGTCCAGCTCATAGGGGTCTCCGAAGACAGAGAGAGAGGCAGCCCCGATGTCCGCACGCATCAGCCCCAGGGAGGGGTCCGCGGGCCGGAACACGGACGGGATGCAGGCCCCGTGGGTCGGCCTCCGGAGGCCCAGCGTCCGCGCGATGCGCCCGCGAGCTGTGACTTCACTCTGAGCAGTCTTGACGGGAAAGAACCGCCGTGAGACCCGTGGATCTGGTGCAAGCTGGCCACACCAGCAGCGGCTGAGCCCACGCCAGACCAGAGCGGCCGGCCCCACACCATCCCTACGCCCACCACCAGGCCTCTGCAGGTCCCAGGCCAATGAGGGTGGACCTGGGGCTCCGCCAAGACAAGACAGCCTGCCCGCTGGACCCCTGTGGGCGCTGCCCTCGAAGCCGCCCCAGCGGCCCCTAAAACCAGGGATCGCCAGGGAGCCTCCCGACGAGCCAGCAGCTCTGCCTGTGTCCTGGCCGACCCGCAGGACGCCCGCCCGTCTGCACTCTGTGCATGGCTCCCAGCAGGAGGCCGTTCCAGGACACCACGCCCTCGCAGAGGACCTGGCAGGCCTACCTTCAGCTTTTGTCCTTTCCTCTTCTTCCCGCGGCCCTGGCGTCTCTTGGACCTTGTCCCCGAGCTCCTGCTCCTCACGGCCGGTCTGGGCTGGGTTTTCTTCCTTCCCAGCACTTTCCTCCGTCTTCCTGCAAAGAGGACACCGCGGGTCTGTGCTCCCCGCGTCGCGTGCCCGTGGCGTCCCCGAGGGGTGCACCCACCAAGGCTCCGCAGGGGAACCACCACGTTCGCGCTTGGAGTCTTCAATGGGAAAATCAACTGCAGTTTAGAGGCCCTGCCGCCCACGGAGGGAGGGCGGGCGGCCGTGCACAGCAAGGCCCGGGCTTGGAGAACCGGCGCCCACGTCCGTTACATCAGAACAAACCCGACAGCGAGCAGCGGCGAGGGACCCGGCTCTGCACCCCGGGGCCTGACCAGAGACGAGAACACGGGCCGCTCCCCGGACACCACCCGCCCCGCCCCGTGAGCCCGCGCTCAGGCCTGACCTGCGCCTTGGAGCTGCCAGGGCTGCTCAGTGGGAGGAGGGGCCCCGGCACCCGAGAGGCATGGGAGCCTCGGCAGGGAAGCAGGGGCGCCAGGAAGATGGCGGGACGGACCCTGGGCGCCCGCAGCTACACCCCACGCACCCCAACTGCCCCTGTGAGCTCACAATGGTGCGGAACCCTGTGACCGCGGGGCTGCTGAGTGACGCCGTGGGGCTGAGGTCTGCGCACCGAGGCCCGGCCACGGGGGGACCCTCAAGCTGTTCAGCTGAGCCCCCCCACGGCCCCAGCGTGTCCACGGCCCCGACCTCTGACAGACACGCCCCCCACCCCCCACCCCCCCGCAGCGGCACACAGACCAGCAGACCAGCCACGAGCGCGGGAACCCGGGCCCAACTACCGGCCCACGGGCAGGGACAGGCTCGGCGCGGCCGGCAGTGCGGACCAGAACCAGGACCAGAACCAGGACGCCGGGACGGGGGACGTCCACACGGGGCGCGGACAGTCTCCGCACAGCAGCAGCGCTGCCCTGGCTGTGGGCTCGCACAGACGACACTCACAACCCCGTGGCCTTTGTGACACAATCAGACTCCGCACGGACGCTGCTCGTGGGGGTGGGCACCCCTGCTCGTTCTCTCGGCACAACGCAGCGTGTGGGTGGACTGACGGGAAAAGCCTCCCTCTGCCGGGCGCACCGCCCGCACTCACAGAGCAGAGGGCGACGCTGCGAGGAGGGGCGGGCGAGTGCTGGGTGCCGACGAGGGAGGCCAGGGCTGAGCCGGGAGGACGACGGAACGGCTCCGGGCCCCTTTCTGCAGCCCGACCAGTGCGGGTTTGACCTACACCTGCCAGAACTTCTTTAGCAAAGCAAACAAACAAACAAAACCTCAAGCGAAAAACAGCAAAGGAGGGTAACCACACAGAGCCGCCTGCCACCTCACCAGGCGATGCCCCGTCCCAGCTGGACGCTCGCAGGGACGAGGGCAGCTCCGGAGCGTCCACTCAGAGACTGTCCTCCGAGCAGGGGAGTGAAGCAAGTGAGAAACACACGTCAGGAGTGTGACCGGGTTTATGACATCAGAAAAAAGGCGCACGCGCGCGCACACACACATACACGTACGACACAAGAGCCCATGATGCTGAATTTGAACTCGAGAATCGGTGTGGCCGAGGACCGCCTCCCAGCTGCCCACTAAAAGGGCCACAAGGCCCACAGCTCGCTCCACGGAGGCCGCACATGCCAGGCCTGTCCCAGAGCAGCGGCTACCACGGTGCCCACGGTGGGGAATGGCACCGACTGTTCAGTCGCTCACTGCCCTGCGCTCACTGAGGGGGAGGGACCCACACCGGCCTGGCAGGAGCGCTCCCGTGGGGCCTGCAGCTCCCAGGGAACCTGTCAGGGACGGCGCCAGCCCACGCCTGGCTTACTTGCTTTCCTCCTCCGCTTGGCGGGAGCCCGCGGCGTCGTGGGGCGCTGATACACGGCTGTGCTCAGGCCAGAGGCAACGGCTTCGATGGTCTCGTCAAGCAGAGAGGACATCAGGTACCTCGGGACATGCTGCACGCAGGTGGGGTTGGTGGGCACCAGGCTCATCCACACCCTCCCAGGGAGGCCCGGCCAGGCCGCCGTGGGGGGACACACAGCCTAGGCCCACCGCACAGCTGGCATCACCCTCTCGATTCCACAAACCGCAGATGCTTCCTGCTGGCAGGGACCCAGGGGGGGGACCGGCCCAGGGAGAGGGGAGGCCTCCCAGGGAGCAGGCTCAGGGCGAGGGCGGAGGATGAGGAGGGCCAGGCAGGCTCAGGAGCAAATGGAGCAGAAGAGTCACACCCCCAGGACACGGGCCGGGATGGACTGCAGGTGTCCTCCCTGGGAGCCGGTGGTGGCAGTGGTGTTTGATGAAAGCACTAGACCCAAGTGCCCCCAGCTCCTCACCCCCTCCCCACCCAGCAATGCTCCCATAGGAATGCCCTGAAGCTGGACGGCCGCCCAGACCCACCTGGATGCTCCGGGCAGTGGACATGCGGTTCCGGTTCACAGTGGCTCGAACACGCTCGCTCTGCCGTGTCCTGGCGATGGCCCGGGTCCGCCCCTCACGAGGCCGCAGCCGGCTGGCGGTCGGCACCACATCGACCAAGAGCAGAGAGACCTCCTCCTCGGTCACGGGATCCGCATCTGGGAGGAACGGAGATGCTCGCTGTGCAGCTGGCCCTCCAGACCGGCAGTGCCGAAGCCTGGGCCCAGCTCCCACCGAGAGCCCACCCAGCTCGACGGGCCTGACTGCCCTGCTCTGGGCCGCGTGGACACTGAGGTGGCGGCGCTACCTGCAGGAGAGGTGGCAGCTCCGGGGCTGGCACATCCTGGACAGAACCACTCGTCCACGGGCACCTCCTGGAGAGGGGGGTCCAAACACTCCATGTGGTACCTACAGGAGTGCAGGGCCAATCAGACCGGGCCCGGCCACACCCGGCACCGGAGAGCAGGTGCGCAGACGCGCCCCAGACCACAGCGTGGCCCGAGGTGCTAAGGCGTCTCCCTGCGCGTCAGGGCCCGGGCCTCGCTTCTCAGCTCCAGGGAGAAATGCCGGCTGTGGACGGGCCGGCAGGCGGGCCCCACGCTCACCCGGCATCACAGCCATCGCAGAGCAGCAGGCGGTCCTCCCGGTCGCTGCGGCCACACACCTCACAGAAGGTGGGGTCGTCCTCCTCCTCTCCGGCCCTGGCGTTCTCCACAGGGACCTGGAGGCAGAAGGCGCGGCTGCTCACATGGCCAGTGGCGCCGACCCGTCCATCCAGCAGGGCTGAGTCTGTGGTCGGCCCGGAGCAGCTCCTCAGCTTCTTAAGGTTTCTCCGTGCCCCGCAGACCGACCCAGAGGCTCGGAACTAATACGCATCCAGGGGTTTTTATGTTTTGGGACCATTTTAAGGTAGTTTATCAAGAAGAAAAAACGGATTTAACCGAAAACAAAGTGGTGCCCATGCGAGGGCCCAGCGCAGAGCACGCAGTGGAGACAGCAGGGCCCTGGTGCTGGAGGAGCCCACCCACGCCCCGGGCAACCACGAGAACAGGAAAGCAACCTTCAGGCAGCGGGTACTAACCACTCGGAAAACGTCACATAATCGAGCAAAGACGTGGAAACGCAGCTGCCATCATTCGAGCCCTGTCTGGTGGGAGGTCTGTGGACACGCCCCTGCCTCTCCTGCGAGCCCCCCAGCAACACCCCTGCAGGTGTCAGCAGCCGCGGTGACAAGCAGGCCGCGTGTCTGGTGGGCTCTCCCCCTGCACCTCCCGTCACACCGCGGCAGACTCTCCAGGGAATGAGGTGCCTGCAGGAAAACTGCCCACACCAGGGCCCAGGCGGCCACCTGCAGCACCGACCCCAGAGCGCCAGAAAGGGTGTGGTCTCAGCAGAAATATGCACCTCACGCACCGGCACCTGCGGTTCTGTGCATTTGTAACAAAAAGCGGGTCTACAGCTGCGAGAGCTGCGCGGCCGTCCCTGGCGTTCAGGTCTAAGGCGCCTCTAGGAGCCTCTCTACGGCTCGTCCGCGACACCAGCGGTGCGGAGGCCCTTTCGGTCTCTGAAAAGCAGAAAAGCCAGCCGAAACCTGGTCCCGCTCCCAAGAGAACCGCCTCCTCCAAGCCTGGCTGCGAGGCCAAGGGCAGGTAGGAGGTGAGCGCTGTGGAGAAGAGGGCGCCTGGGAAACGGCCCCCCTCCCCTGCAGTGCCCCTCCCCAGCACCCACGTGGCCGACAGACAGGGCAGCTCCCTCCCCCACGGGCTTCCGTCACGGCTGCAAACGGCAACCTGGTGGGTTTCTAAGAAGCGTGGGCCAGTACGCACTCATCTCAGGAAAGCAATTTGGGAAGCTTCCCCCGAGACAGGGACCATGCAGTGAACGCAGCGGTGGGGCTCCCACAGCGCAGACACTCACCTTCTTCAGGACTTTGCCACCAAACTGGGCTCGAATACAAATGCGTTTAAATAGAGTTCGATCGACTGGACAGGAATTGGCATTCTGTGAGGAACAGGAGCGGTGTCAGGAACCTGCGGATCACTTTCACTAGTAACGTCTCACTCGAAATAAAGCACGCGCCGAGCCTGCAACATGCCTTCACCCCGAAAGCCAGACGGTCCGCCTCCGCGCGCTGCGGAGCTAAGCTGCCGGTTCACAGCGGCGAGGCAGGAGCCGCCGCGGCGAAGAGGAAGGAAGGGGAGCCCGGCATGTGCACACGGCCGCTCGCAGGCGTGAAGGGAGCTGAGGGAGAAGGCGCGCAGGGGACAGGGGACGGGCCACGGGCGCCCCTCTCTGTTCCAAGCCTGTGCCCGTGTTCCATGAGCTGCTCCCGTCTCAGCACACGCAGAGGGCTCCCTCCTCAGAAACGCTAAGATCTTCTTGCCTTAACAGTGTTTTCCACGAGTCCTATTGAACGCCTTTACTAGATACACCATGTACAGCGCAATGCACTTACCACTGTGAATCTCCACATCCTGGGGCAGCCCCCCCAAGCTACCAGCCCCCTGCCCCCTGGGGTCTGGGCGCCTCTGGCCAGCACAGGACGGGGCTGCCCCCGAGCCTCCCACAGGCAGCCCGCAGCCCCTCCCCCTGCTGTGCACACCCTCAGACGTGTCTGCCGGACGCACTTGGTCCTCTGGCTCCCAGTGCGCTCCCTGTGGGAGGACATGTCACACCCACACCTGCCTGAGGAGCCCTGGGCTCCGCCCACCCACACGGGCTCCAGGCTGTGCAGGGCTGTCGCCTTGTGGTGTGCGCAGTGGTGTCCCGCGCACCCCGCCGACTCCTGTGCTCAACGTCTACTTGTGAGTCCCTCCCGGGACGTCCGGAGCCTTATCAGGGGCCTCCCCGCTGCACCTCCCGGATGGCAAGGAGGCCGCCAGGTCCTGCGTGTGAGCTGCCTGCCGTCACACGCTTACAGAGGAGCCCCTCTCTGCCCACGAGGTGCCGCTGTGTCCACTGTGTACTTGTCCCCTGGCCCTGCCAAGCTCCACGGCCCGGGCCCCGTTCCCGGAGTCCAGCGTAGCCACCACAGACGACAGCGCCGCGCCCAGGAGGGACTCTCCCCCTGCGTCTCTCCGGGAACCGCGCAGCCGCCGGGCGCTGGGCTCTGGGAACCGGCGCCACTGCCCCTCGCGCGAGACCTCCCACACAGGGAGGGGCCCCCTCCGCTTGCTCTCAGCTGCTGCTCTGGCCCCTCCTCTGACTGACGTCTATGCGCTCCCACCGTGAGCCGTGGCTCACCCTGCATCCAGCAGCCCTGCTGAGCCACAGTCCCTGGCCATGCCTGTGCTGGCGTGGCGTCACGGGTGGGGTGGGAGCGCGAGGAGAACAAGACAGAGGACGCGTCAGCACGGCCACACCTTCTCATCGCTGCACAGTCCACGCCTGTGAGATTCTCACGATCGAGTGGAAAGAACAGGAGCAGGGCTTCTGGCGTCCTCAGAGACACGCAGGCTTCTGGGCCTCTCCTTGCAGGCCCCCGGGACTCGGCACCTGCGACCCCCCCAGCACACGGCACCGCGCACCTGAGCCCCGCTGGCCCCTGCGGTCCCTGTCCTGCTGGGAACGCTCCTCTCCTGCCGCCTCTGCAGTGCGCGTCCCCCACAACCCAAGAGCCAGCGGCCAGGCGGGAGCCAGGACCGGCTGTGAGTCAGCCCCAAGGCCCCACGCCGGCAGCAGAGCAGAGCACCCAGCACGAGGCGGGCACAGGCCGGGCCCTCAGACAGGAGGCCCGAGAGCAGCCGCCTCACCTTGGACCACTCCAGGATACAGTCCAGGCAGAAGTAATGGGCGCAGCTCTCCGGGGTCCCCACAGCCTGGTCCCTGAAAGTGTTGAGACAAATGGGGCAGCTCTCCGCTTCGTCGTCGGAATGACACGTGCCATTGGCCTCCGGCTTCCCCTGAGGGTCTGCTGCCACCAGTACTTCCTCGTCATCGTCGTCATCATCGTCTTCGGAACCTTCGGAACCTTGAGAAAGAGGGACACACGTGAGCTACCGCCGCGCAGGGGAAACCCGGCTCCCACCCCGCACTGCGGGACAGATCGCCTGCCGGCGGCCCCGCCGGGTGCTGGCAACGGCTCCTCACCTCCAGCCGCTCTCAAGCTGAGGGGCACAGCACTGGCCGGGCAGCTCCAGCAGCCCCAGCCCCGGCCCCGGAGCAGTCAGACCCCACGGGCCGGGCATGACTAGGTCAACTGCCCAGGCCAGCGCCCCCGACGGCGGCCACACTCCCAACCCCTCCTCAGAGCAAGTGGGAAAGAGCCGTCTGCCTTCAGACAACACTGTCCTTAGCAACCCCACTTCCCTCGGGCCAGAGAGCACCGGTCCTAAGCGGACCACGAGGCCGCCCCGGTCGGAGGCTGAGGCTGGGAGCCACCCGCAGAGACGTAAGGGGACGCTCTGGTCGAACACGCAGTCACCGTGTTTAGTTTTCTGTCCTCCCCGAGTGCACACAGACAGAGGACAGACCAGAGGTGTGGCCGCCTCGCCGGTCCCAGGACTCCACCCGTCCCTCCCTCTGCGTGTGGCAGCACCGGTGCCCACCACGCTACTGCCCATGACCCTGCTGCTGTGGCAGAGCAGTTCCCGGGTCGGGGGGACTGCGTCAGGAGAGCCCTCCAACGGCGGTTCTCCTGCCGACGGCAGAGGTCCGAGGCACTCCTGCTGGGCGGCCGAAGGTGGGCGCCAGGAGCGGATGACAGTGCCCCACAGCCGGCCAGAAACCGGACTGCAGCCCTGCCCGAGACCTGACTTCTGCCAACAAGCGGTGACCCTGGAGGAGGGCGTCGTCCCATGCACCAAAAGGTCGCTAGTTCAATTCCCGGTCAGGGCACATGCCCCAGTTGCGGGCTCGATCCTCGATCCCCGGTAGGGGGAAGGCAGGAAGCAGCCGCCAAACAACGTTATAATCTCACATCAATATTTCTCTCTCACTCTCTCCCTCCCTTCCTTTTTCGCTAAAAAAAAAGTCAATAAAAATCTTAAAAGGAGACAATGAGAGTGAGCACAGGCGGGAGCCCCTAGCAGCGAGGACCTGGTCGGGAGCCTGGGCCAGGGCGTGCTCCGTCCACCCGAGACCCAGGGCCTGGAAGGGGCACCGAGCTCTCTGCTCATTCTGCCGGGAGGCGTGGAAGGTGGTCTCCCCGGAAACCGCCGTTCCGTTCCCGCCGCTCTGTGCTCCGGCACGTTCTCATCTCCTGCCCTCACCAGAGAGGAGACCGAGCAAATCGCGTCACACCGAAGTACGCCGTCGCCCCGTGGGCATGGAGGACACCCCACAGGGCCTGCCCACAGGCCCGCTCCGCACGGAGTTTCTCCCCAGCGCCTCACCCACCCCTCAGCGGCAGTGTGGTCAAGCAACGTCACTGGGGACGTTTTAGGACCCGCTGCCCTCACAGCGAGACCCAGGAAGCCGCTCCACAGGCAGCGCGCTCACCAGATCCATCCTCCAGGTCCGCCTCCTCCTCTCCATCGGTGCCGTCGCTGAGCTCACTGCCCGTGTCCTCAGAGCCGCCACTGTCACCGTCACTGCTTTCTTCTAGACCAAGACAGGAAAAACACAGGCCGGGCAGAGTCACAACCGAGGCAAGAGGAGGGCGGGTGCACAGAGGGGTGCAGCAAGCATAGTGTGGGGGGGGGCGGACAGAGGGGGACAGCAGCTGCTGGCAGGTGGGGAGGTGGGGCTGGTGAGGACAGAAGTAGGAAAAGCAAAATCCCTTTGCTCCATTTACATCTGTATTGCTTACATTAAAAATAAGACAAGACATCTGTTCTACTCTCAACAATAAAGGTTATTTTTAAAGATTATAAAAATAAGACAAAAGAATGTACCACTTCTGCAACTTAAAAACAAAGTCATGTAGACATCACTGAGACAACAGCCAAAGGGAACTCAGCTTGTCTTTCTAATCCTCACCCGAGAACATGTTTATCGTTTTAAAGAGAGAAGGAGAGAGAGAGAGAAACATCCAGGGGAGATGGCACCGCAACCTTGGTGTAGGGACAACGCTCCAGCTGAGCCACGGGCCCGCGTGGGCGCTCGGCTCTCTGAGGGCCCGCGTCGTGCAGCGCGGGGACCCGACCTCTCCTGAGGTGCCGGCCACGGGCCCGCGCTCGGCCACGGCAGGAGGGGCGGCGGCTCACCAGCATCACTGGCCACGGTGGCAGCGCTGAGTCCCGGGTGGACATCTGGCCCCAGGCTCTGGTCCACCAGCTCGTCCAGGCTGTCCTCATCCATCGCTGGACATGGGAGTTCAGCCTGCAGGAGAGAGAGCAGTCATTCCCAGCTGTGCCAGGCTGCAGAGAACGGCAGCCACTCTAGCGTCGCACCCCTGGTGACACGTCCATCTGCAGGACAGGAGGCCGAGCTGAGAGCATGCGCACAGCAGCCCAGCCACAACGCTGTGGGTACAGGGAAAGGCAGATTCTTAGCTACCGAGCTACATGCAGTCCGACCTCCACCTGCAACAAGCCCGTCAGCTTCAGCTGCAGGTTTGTACTGAGACGAAAGGGCTTGTCAGGAGCTGAGGCAAAGCAGGGCTTTCGACAGGGGCTCCCCGGAAGGCCGAGGTGGCAAGCGGGGCCCTCCCCGGGCAGATCCGCTCAGCCAGGCTGCCCGCGGCCTCTGCTCCGGCCCCATGGGAACCGCGGCTTTAGCTCACCCGGAGCAGCCCCGGAGCAGCCCGGGGCCTCGGGGAGCAGAGTGACGTGAGGACCTGCCCTCCGCCACCATGGCCACCCCCTGGGCTCCTCATCTCCAAGTGGGGACACCTGTGGGATCTCTGCACGGACAACAGACCCAGACAGCGGCCTCTAAGTGCAGCAAGACCCGCTCTCCCCCCCACCCCAGAGCCTCCAACGCTGGTCCCCAAATAAGGGTTCCTTCTCATCAGGTGACCCTCAGAGGACCCCACTCAGC